TATGATCCTGTTCACCTGTCCAGACTCATTTCTCCCTCTCCCCAGAATCCTCTACCCTGCCACCACCTAGTCTAGTCAATCGTCTCTCACCTTTCCAGAATCAATTTGGATGTCACCTGCCCAGGAATTCTCCTCTGATCTCTCTTACCTTCTTAGACCCAAAGCTTATTCCTAGGAGATGTGTCCCATCACATCATAGTTGCTGACTTGTCCATATCCCTAACTAAAGCACAGCGCCCGCTCCTCGAGAATAGGGATGGTGTTGTAACTACCTGTGCTGATCCTTCACACCCTATCTGGCACTCGGTGGAAGCTCAATAAACACAGGTTGAATGAATAAGTGACCAAGCAAGGCCAGCGGGAGTGACCAGAAACTGATAAGAAGGACTCTGGGGTTCAGAGTACACAATGCTTTCCTCCTTTAAGGGCCAGCCTGGCAGCAGACGTGGACTGAAGAACGAACGCTTGCTGAACATACGTGCTGGGCCAGCCTCTGTGCTAGGTGCTTGCTGTTTATATCATTTTCTCTTAATTCTTGTAGTTATCCTGTAAGGTGTCTATGCACCTTCCTCTGTGTTACAATTTAGTCCCGCGTTTTCCTTCCGCAGCTGCATTTCCATCCACAGCTCCCCTGGAATCTTTAGGGAGTTGCCTAGGACTCCACAGGCAGAGCGAAAACTAGGAAAGAGCTTACAGGAAAAACAGATTTTCCTCCAGAGCTGGCACTCTCATGCTGGAAGTCTGGGTATCTTTGCTTAGCATCTACATGAACTCGGTTCTCTAATCTTGGAATTTGAGAGCTGAGAAGGACCTTAGAAATCATCTAGTCCAGTTCCCTCATTTGACACATGAAGGGGCCAGTGGCTGGCCCACGGCCACTCAGCTTGTGCAGAGGCAGGGTGGAATCACTCAATCTCCTGACTCTCCGGCTTCCCCACGCACACTTGGCCATTCCGGTACTTGATTTTGCTTACTGGAGTCTCTTAGTCCAAGAGCCCTCTTACAACTTCTAACTGCATATTGTTTTGTGAGAGAAAGAACTTCAACTTCCAGGGTGGCTAGATGTTACAACAGCGCGTCTGGACCTGCTGGAACTAGGGAGTTCAGGGGAGCTCGGGAGCTCAGAGGAGATGGGGTCTTGATGGTGAGGGAAGCCCAGGGAGCAGCAAGCTGGAACTCATTCCCAGCACGGCCTTCCTTTCGCAGATGCCAAGGGGGAAAACCAGGGGTCTCAGACAGTTTCACTTAACATTTACTAGATACTAGGAACTGGAGGAAATGCCTTCAAGCCCTTACAATCCAGATGAGTACAGATATGACACGGCATGGAAACAGGCAGAGGAAGGCAAGCAGGATTTTTCCTTGGAGAGTTTCCTGGAGGAAGTGGCTCCAAGCTGGATTTGAGGGAGACACAGAAGAGGAAGCCAGCCATCTCAGACAGGAAGAAAGGTGAGGGCAGACTCTGAGGGACTGGGAGGGATGAGAGTGTAAATGAGAGCAGTGCTTCTCCAAGAGTCATACCTGGAGCAGCAGCAGCAGCAGCAGCTGGGAAAGAGTTAGAAACATCTGTCATTGGAGCCCACTCAGCCCTACTGACTCAGAACTGCGGGGGATGGGCCCCGCAATCTGAATTGAACAAGGCCTCCGGGTGATTCCCGCACCCCTTCAGGTTAAGGCCCACTGAACCAGATAGTTCCGACTTGGAAGTCCATGGCATCCTTGCTCCTGTGGAAAGGCTCTGGGACAGCAGGGACAGGCGCAGACAGAATGCGGTGCCTGTCCTCTGGTTCCCTCTGTAAATGCCCTTCGGGGTCCGGTCCTTCTTGGACTTTTTGGAGCACCAGATGCTGCACTACGTACCTTATGGAGGCATCTTCCTCTCCTCTCCGAGACACAGAGGGCAGGACTCCCTGTGATTCTCAGTGCTGACAAAGCCAATACCAAGTGACATGACCGTGTCTCCAGCAACCTCATCATTCTTACCACGCGAGAGCCCTGTGAGACTTCCTTCGTGGCCTTCTCACCTTCTCTGTGTCCTTAATGACACACACCTCACTCTCTCTTATGGACCTGCTCTGGCGCCTTGTTTGAAATGGACAGCCACTCCGATATTGTTCCAACACTCCCTATGCACTTCTGCTCTGTTTCTGTCCGTCACATCAACCCATGTCTATCCTACGATTCCCTTTCTAGTTCGTCTCTTGTCAGTCCTCCTAACCTCCAATTGAAAGCACCGTTCACGAAGCCTGAAGCTTGTGTTGTTTTGTTTCACTGCTGTGTTCTCCGTGCCAGCACGGAGCCCTGTCATACGCAAGGTGCCCATATCCAGTGGGTGAATGGTTTCTACCATGTCACTCTGCATGTGTGGCTTCAGTTACAATGGGTTGAGCTGGGAATTGGCCTCTAACTTGACGGCAACTTCCCAATGGCTGGCCAATGGCTGAGGTCTGACGTGAGAACTTGGTCACGGCGACAGGCTGAACGCATCAGACCCCACCATTGGGGAGTCTGTGAGGTCTGGACAGGGAAAGTGATAGTAGGATGGTGCTAAAGAGGGGCCACAGGGTAAAGGCAGCAGAAGCCTGATGAAGAGAAAAGGGTGGTACAGACAATTAGTCAGCAGGGACAGAGGTGGTGCAAGTGGAGATAGAGAAAAGCCGAGTCAACATAACAGCGGAGAAACTCCCATCTGATAATTCCAGAGAACGACTCTGGAAATGGGTGTTGAGATACTTGAGGGGCTCTACTATCCTGAATGGTGTCCTGGGGGGCCACGAAGCCCAGCTGTGTGGCTGGGTCCTTCTATCCTTCATTCTCTACACATCCTAAAAACAGCTCACCACTGGCTGTCAAACCTGAGGGGGTCTCTGGATCCTTCCAGGCACCTGGCAACACAGAGTCCAGTACCCGCACATCTCTTGCCGTGGCAGGGGCTCCCGGGGGCTGGGCTGGGCCAGCTCTCACTCCCATAGGAAAGGCTGAGGCACTGGGGCAAAAGTGCCAAGGGTGCGGCTGGGGCAGATGCCCTCAATCTATTCCAGGCAGCGGTGCTCAGCTGAGGTGTTCCTTTGAAAGCGTAATAATACATACGGGAAACTTGTGCAATTCCACTTTAAATGTGTCCTTCCCCTTTATTACACGCAAGGAAAAGGTCAGGGAGAGGCCCTGTTATGAAGCCAAGTCAGCAAACAAAATCCCCTGTTTGATGTTCCAGTGTGGCCCTGCAGCGGCAACCCTGAGGCAAGGCCGGGGTGAGGCAGGGGGTCAGAGGGTGGAGGGAGTGCACGCGCAGGAACACTACCTCTGCTCCTTACTTGTTTGTGACTTGACTGACCACAGAGCCCGGCCTCCTCTCTGCCTGACTGCCGGTCATTTTCTGTCCTGAGTCCCTTTTCAAGGATGTACCTGGAAATCTTCCCACCGGTCCAGATAGAAGACCAATCTTTCTCAATTGCTAATGCAACTCTAAAACATTTTATTTTGATTCTGCTCAACATTGAGATTGTGGGGGTTCATACATTTTTCTTAAGTGAAAAACATTCTGTCCAGATAGCGTGATAACAAAAGCTCGTTCATTCCATGAATATTTATGAAGTTCCATTAAGTGTTAGGAGCTAGACCAGATCTTGAGGAAGCGGCAGTGACAAGACAGAAATGCCTGCTTTCACTGCTTTTGTCAGCAGCAAAGACAGATACTAAGCAAATAATTCTAAACATGAGAAATAGTATGAAAAAACTATAAGGTACCCCTGGAGCTTTTAACAGGGAAAACTGGGAAAATATTTGCAAATCACATATCTGAGAAAGCGTTAATATCAAAAATATGTAAAGAACATAAAGAACTCCTACAACTCAACAGTAAAGAACCCCCAAACAATCCAATTAAAAAATGGGCAAAGGATCTGAATAGATATTTTCCAGCTAAGGTATACAAATGATCGACAGATACATGAAAAGGTCCTCGATATTAATCATCAGGGAAATGCAAGTCCAAACCACAAAGTAATCCCCTCACACTTGTCAGAATTATCAGAAAGACAAGCAATATACCAAGTGTTGGCAAGGATGTGGAGGAAAGGGGACTCTTGTGCACTGTTGGTGAGAATGTAAACTAGGGCCGCCATGGTGGAAAACAGTGTAAAGGGGCCTCCAAAAATTTAAAATAGAACTACCATATGATCCAGCAATTACATTTCTGGGTATTATCCAAAGAAAACAAAAATACTCTCCCCCAAAGATACCTGCACCTCCATGTTCACTACAGCATTATTTACAATAGCCAAGATATGGAAACAAACTAAGTGTATCCAATGATGGATGAATGGATAAGAAAATGTGGTACACACAGACACGTGCACGCACACATACACGCGCGCGCACACACACACACACACACTGGAAATATTATCCAGTCATAAAAAAGGAAACCTTGCCATTTGTAACAACATAGATGGATTTGAGAGCATTACGCTAAGTGAAGTAAGTCAGAGAAAGACAAACGCTATGTGATTTCCCTTATAGGTAGATTCTAAAACAAATCAGAAACAAAAACGAAAACACCCTGTGAGCTCATGGATATAGAACACAGATTGGTGGTTGCCAGAATGGGGAGTTGAGGGGGAGGGAGAATGGATAAAGAAGGTCAAAAGGTACAAACTTCCAGTTGTAAAATAGGAAGTCATGAGGATGTAATATACAGCATGGTGATTACAGTTAATAATACTGTAGTGCCTATTTGAAAGTCGCCGAGAGAGTAAATCTTGAAAGTTCTCATCACAAGAAAAAGTTTTGTTAGGTGTGGTGACAGGTGGTAGTCAGAATTACTATGGTGATCATTTTGCACTACATACAAATAACAAATCATTATGTTGTACGCCTGAAACTCATATGTTATATGTCAATGATACCTCAAAAATAATAAAACATAAAAATTGCTACAAAAGTCTTTAAGCATTCACTTATTTTTATGTAGAAAGAAGGGAAACACCATTTTCACTTACCCATAACGCAGAAGTGAGTGTCTCGATGGACATGGTGAAAAGTAACTTCAAGCACCTATTTTTAATTAAATATAATTAACTCCTACTTAGCAAAATGGTTTTCAGTCTTCTCGACAAACTTTTAGTTGCTTTAATTAGCATTAGACTCAGCTGAAAAATCACAGGAAATTCCATCATCATTAGGAAGTCAAGCTCCTTCTATCCTCTTGCTCTGCCATCTTCCATGTGGCTTCTGCCTCATGGTCTGAAATGGCTGTTTGATATCCAGCCATCATGCCCACACTCTAGGCAGCCTGATCTTTCCAGACATTATACATGATACTTCTACTTAGGTGCCCCTGGCTAGAACTTAGACACATGGCTCTTTCTGTCTACAAGGGTAGTTGGTTGGGAAACGTGGTATTTACTCTATGGCTGTGTATCTAGCTGAAAACAGGTCACCTGTTGCTAAAATAGAAAAAAACAGATACAGGGGCCACAAGAAGTGGCAGTTTATGTCCTCAGGGTTGGGATGATATAAATATTAAAGGGGAAATGCTTTTCAAAATTATGCTATCATAACGATGATGACTTTCCTAAAAAGGTCAAGTGGCTCTCATTTATTACTCTAGGGCACAACATTGCTACTGTCAGAATGGAGAATAATTTCCCACAGAGAGGCAATACTCAGCTGGAGATGGAGAGGAATGGATTTGCAGAACAGAGTCAGGGCTCACGTCCAGCCTGGTTAGCGTCAGTGGCCAGAAGGAAGGCAACCTCTGCGGCACTTCCCAGCACCAGCGGCTCAGGTCACCTGCTTCTTATCTCTTGGAATCAGCACAAATCATGAGTTTTGAAGCCTTGAAACTCAAGCTGTGGGGAATTTAAAGGAGCCTGCAGAGTTTAAAATCAAATGAGCATATGAAGATAATGAAACTCATTTGTGTCCTGCAGAAGACGGGTGGCTAATCCCTACTCAGTTTGCGGTGCACCAACCTCACGTGGTGGGCTCGAGCTGTGTGTTTCATACAGTGGAACTGGTTCCCTTGAAAATAAAAATGAGCGGGCACACAGTTTTTCCTTTGCTGTCCTGCCCGCCGCTCCCTTGCAGTGCATCCAATAAACTTCTACCTCCTTTGTTCTGCCTCGGGTGAATCCTTTCACAGCCTGTCCCGCTGGCCTCCACCCGATCCGGTCGCCCCACATTTGGTGGCCCTCATGGGGAACCTCTGCCGGCCAGGGACTCCCCCGGATTTGCCAGGAATTTCTCAGGGCTTTCCCTCAGTGGTTCTCCTTGGGGAACTGAGGACCTCTGGCCGAGGGTATTCCTGGGGGAGAATTCGAAGGCCCAGGGGGAACCAGCCAGATCACCCTTGCCTGAAAGGGGGAGGGATTTCCCTTCTCACCCTTTGGAGGGATCCTTCTCTCCCTCTCCTTTCTCGCCCTTAACCCTAGTATTACTTAGACAACTGAAGGTCTCTGGCCAGGGCAGCTTTCTGATGTGGTCTGAAGGTCTGACAGCAAAGAGGTCTGACTGCCCAAGCCTATGAGGGCAAAGAACCCCTTTCCTTTCCTCTCCTCTCCTGTTCTGTCCCTTGTAAGCCTCCAGCCGGCACCTTGATCTACAGGCAAAATACGTTCCCATGGGTCTGAGTGAATCTAACGATTTCATGTACAAATGATGTTTCAACAAGGATTCCAGCCTACCCCATTGAGGAGTTCCCTCCCCCTAAATCCCATGGACCCGGCTACCAGGGAATTTCACACTCAAATGGCCTACCAGCACATTAATAATAATACCATGCTCTGGTCTGTAACGGCACAGAACCCCTGAGACTAGCAAGTTTAGGTAAGGACACCGCACCCCCCTGAACCACCCACTGCACACAGCATGAAGCAGCTACTGAACATGAGGCCTGTGCCCAATTGTCAAAGATTTGTTATTGTCGATCTATCAGGAGCAATGTAGAGGCTGCTTTTAGGCAACAGGCTTGAGCAATGGAAACCTGAATGAGGTGAAAGGGCCCACCATGATCACCAGGTTGAACACAAACAGACCATAACCAACCGATGTCCCTAGCAACCCAGGCACAGTTATAAAACAACGGAAAATTCCATATGTCCCTATACTTTCTCACTCCACCCTATGACTTGGTCCCTTACCAGTGCCTCATGGCAGACAGCTCTCCTTTGACCTTCCCTCGTAGTATTATTCAATAAACTTCTATCTCCTTTTAAAAAAAAGAAAAAGAAAACAAAAATGAGGCATCAGAATTAAAATTATACCCTCGGTAGTTGTGAAAGTTGTGAAAGTTGTGAATCCTACTTACGGGGCACCTGGGTGGCTCAGTCGGTTGAGTGTCCAACTTTGGCTTAAGTCATGATCTCACAGTTCGTGATTTCGAGGCCGGCATCGGGCTGTGTGCTGACAGCCCAGAGCCTGGAGCCTGCTTCAGATTCTGTGTCTCACCCCCCTTCGCTGCCCCTCCCCCCCCCCTCTCTCTTTCAAAAATAAATAAACACTAAAACAAATAAATGAATCCTACTTTTCCCTAGGTTAAACCTTTCCCCAGCCCCCAGGTTAAAACTGATTCATTCATTTGTTTGCTCCTTCACTACATCAAGCATTGCTTGGATGTGTCTTAGCGTTTGGCAGGTATACGGAGATGACCTTGAAAAATTTAGGCAATTCTGGTAGATTTGCAGGAATCCATAGTTTCTAGTGACATGATAACGTTTCTTGGTTCTTTATTCAGTTGAGAAGACAGCGCAGTGGAAAAAGCACTGATTTAGGAAACCTGACTTCAAGTCAGCCCCCATGTAATCCTGGGCAAGTTTCGTAACCGTTTGGGCTCCTAGCTTCCTCCACTTAGGATTCATGGTTGAGTTAGATAAGGGGTCTCAAGTCAAATTCCTGCAGCAGCCAGGCAGGTAACAGAAATACGTGAAGTGGACCCAGCTTAAGAAAAATAGAGGCAGAGGTCTGTTTTGCTTTCCTCTTAACTGAGGTTTAAGAAAACAGTGTCATAAGCCTAATAAATGGTCACGAACACTCAGCTTCTAAACCAGAGAAGCCACAGGGAGCAGTGGAGACTGAGGTAACCTGGGGCCATGATTGCTTATCTCCAGTTAGGAATGTGGGCTGAGTGCTGCCGAATCTTTTGAATTTTCAAGAGAACTGAGAAAATATGGATTTGTTTTCCTATGTGAAATGTTCAGATTTTTCCATTATGGAGCAACCAAATTCAAAACTTAAAACAAAAACAAAAACAAACAAAAAAACCTTGTGCCAGTTCATCTGGCATTGAACCCATTTCAACCAAAACAGGGTGTGTTTGTAGGGCTGCCCATCTATGATCTCTGGGTTACACTGTAGTCATTGGAGTACTAGTTCTCAAGTTGAGATTTCTGGATCCCTTAAAAGCTTCAGCTAGGCAGGACCCATAGAAATCACATAGCAAATTTTGTGAGTGTACATTTTGGGGGTGAGAGTACTCATCAGTTTCATTAGAGTTAGGAACTCATGGCCAACAAACTTTTATTTATTTATTTATTTATTTAAAAACATTTTAAAGTATTTATTTTTGAGAGAAAAAGGGGGAGAGAGGCAGAGAGAGAGGGAGACACAGAATCTGAAGCAGGCTCCAGGCTCTGAGCTGTCTGCACAGAGCCCAACGCCGGGCTCAAACTCACAGACTGTGAGATCATGACCTCAGCTGAAGTTGGACACCTAATGGACTGAGCCACCCAGGTGCCCCCTCATGACCAGCAAACTTTTAGATTCACCAATCAGCCTAGCACAGTTTTCCAGCTCTTACTCTTCAGAATGTCAAGATGGATGATGTAATCAGACACTTTGTTCATTCACTCCTTCATTCATTCAGTGATAGTTATGGAACATATGCTATGTACGAGGCATCTTCTAGGCATTGGGGATATCGAAGCAAACAGAAGAGATGAAGTCTTTGTTCTTATGAAATGTCCCTTCTAGAGGAGAGACACAGATAACATCTACAAAAACAAAAAAGGCACATATTATGTCAGGCAACGACGAGGACCGTGCAAGGTAAGAGGAGAGAAGAGAGGCAGAGTCGGGCAGAGTGGCATTTTAGGTGGGGTGAGGGGCAAAGGCCTCTCCTTCAGAGACCTGACTAAAGTAAGCAAGCCAGCCATGCGATTTTCTGGAAAGAGCATTTCAGAGCAGGGAGAAGTGAAGACAGGCCTGAGGCAGGTGCATAAAGTGGTCTGTTTATGGAGCACCAAGGTTAAGGTTAAATTAAGGCTATATAACCACTAGTGGGTTTAAAGGAAGGCTTTGGGATTTTTTTCCTTATAAAACAAGGAATTCCTTAAAATTGTTTGCAACACTTTCATCTCTTTATGCTGATAATGCCCCGTTGAGAAACAGATCTAAGAAAAAAGGCACATGCCCACTATTGGCCGGTGCCATAAACTGGCTCCATCTTTCCTGAGAGCTGCTAGTAAATTTAACAAGAGCCATAAAACTGTTGACAAGGCAAAAGAGAAGAAAAAAAAAAAAATAAGAGAAAAACTAAGTCTACCTTAGCCGGGTGTTGAATAATACACAAAAACCTCAAATAATCTCAGTTCTCAAAAAAAAAAAAAAAACAAGCAAAAATAAACAACGAAATTCAACATGCTTGCATTCTATTAAGCTGTTAAAATGACACTTGGGAACAATACTAATGAGGAAAAATGTATTATATGAAAAGTGCCAAATAGAAAAAACAAGATACAAACCTGTGTATTTATGCTGATCAAAATTGTGGAAAATATATTACTGCACGTTACTGAACACAAAAAGAGAATTTGGAGGGTTACCAAAAAAAAAAAAAATCTATTGTCTGGCGAGATCTCTTTTTGGGCAGGGTTGCTTATGTTCATAATGCACCTTTGTTTTTTTTTTCCTGTGGCTGGGTAGTGTGAGCTGTGTGAGCTGTGTGTGTGTGTGTGTGTGTGTGTGTGTTGAAGCTGAGGTTTACCACCTGTGAGGCACCATTCCCTGTACGACACTGCTAAAAGGGACAGGGCTGTGCTGCAGACACTGAGCTGGCTGTGCAACAGTGAGAAGTATGTAAGCAGAGTCCACATGGTCCCGCTTGCCGCAGAACCGGGAGCTACGGAACAGCAAGATGCTTTGCGTCACCGTGTTGGTATCTGCACTCTAGACGGATTTGGTTCTGGGACAGAAAACCAACGACGGCTCTACCGGAGGCCAGCAGGAGTGCCAGCTGCCGCTTCAACGACAACAGGGTGGAGGCGGGCAGCAAGTTCTCTTTGCTGCCACAGCTCCCACACCCTTCCTGCTACAGCCCCGCATCTAACTTGGTAGTTGTCTCCTTGTGGGGAGAGGGGGTTCCTGGCTTATAGGATTCCAAAGCAAAACACCGTCTAGACCAGACTGAGCTTTGAGATGTTTTCTTGTCCTTCAGGTCAACGGTCACCTCTTCAGGGAGGGCTTCCCTGGCCAAACGATCTAAAGTAGCTCCTACCCAGTGATGGAGGGTATACCATCCTGCTTTGTGTTTTGTGTATTAGTTCTTCAACCATTTCCATTTATTTGTTTATTTATTGTCTGTCTTCCCCCATTGTAATTTTTTTAATGTTTATTTATATTTGATAGAGAGAGAGAGAGAGAGAGGCAGAGCACAAGCAGGGGAGGGGCAAGATCGAGGGAGACACAGAATATAAAACAGGTTCCAGG